CCCCGCCGTGATATTGCTGGAATATTGCTAAAAGCAGCGTAAAACCATACTCACTCACTATAATGTGCAGATATCTATGTTGTTTTGTTATATATCCAATAAATTTAAAAGGAGTTCAAAGCTAAATAAACTTTGGGCTAATAAGGTAAAAAAATGAAAAGTAGAACCAACATGAAAAAGTTTTTTTAGGATTTAAGATATTTATGTTATTGATGGTGGTGAAACACCGAAAAGAAACCTCTTTTTATAAAAGAAACCCCAACAGAATAGCATCTTGTAGTCAGTGATCATTGTTATAAGTCTTATATTCTCATGAGGTGTCTGCCAAATGGGGCATTCTCAGCTTGGGTAACAAACGCTGGATAGTGGCATTTGGGATTTTGAGGTATCTGACAAATGGGGTGAGATCCCCATCTTCAACGTGCATCGTCTACCCATCTATTGCATAGAGTTGCACAGTGCTTCCTATTCACGTACCCGCTGATTTCAGTCCGTGTATCTTACAGTACATGCAGCTCACTGTGATATGAGTTAGTGAGTGCGTCTATTTTTACGCCGCTTTTAGCAATATTCCAGGGATATCACGGCGGGGGACACCAGAAATGGGCTCCACACATTGTACCCATGTCGGAATAGAACCCGGGTCTTCGGCGTGACGAGCGAAAGCTTTAACCACTGGGCTACCCGACCGCCCCCATTGTGATATGAAAGCAGATTACAGCTAATCCTAGCCAAGTCGCGAAAGAAACAAGTAACAAAAATTAACGGTGTCTTTGAGATGGATATTTTTATGATTTAATCATATATGGCTGGAAATGCCATGACTCATTACTATCCCGGGCCGGTAAAAAATCAGATGTTTTTTTATATACGAGGTTTGCATGTAACTCCCCTGTTGATAACTGTATATCCTCAGCAACTATATGTAATATGCAGTACACGTTTTACACCACGAGCATTAACAGCCCAGATCGAGCGTTTCTACTGCCAGGCCAGGTGTTAAACAACACAATACGTGGTAGATCTTCTGTATTATAAGTAGCACTGATCATTGTCACTTCGAATTAACTACCTGCAGATTAATTATCGCCCGCCGGTGTAGCGCGACAACTGACCTTAAGACAAACTGTTCTGAGGTCGGTTAGCGTCGTGTCTGTGTGATTTATCACTGATTTCAGCATGTCAATATATACTGCACAGTCAGCAGTATTCCTACTGCATCACGGCGGTCTGTATATTGCCTGAGCCTCCAGGTAAACCAGTGGTTGACAGCATGAGCACCCTTTCACGACGTCATGATAACATGGCACACAATCAACCATGACACATTGCAACTATCCGATGCTCGTGAACCACTACCCAGTGGGACTCGGGGTTATAATTAATCCCTGGGGGTGGATGGGTGCTGGGGTGTGGGTGGTTGGTGTGTAAAGGAGGGGGGTGGGGTCAGGCCCGGGGTGTTGGTTAATAGCGCGCATCGTACTCTAACGCCTTGGGTCGCCAGTATCATTTAATATATCAGCTTCCCTCATCCGGTTGAAAATCATTGGCATCGTCTGTATTGAGTATGTTAAATGTTCAGTTTTCTTCATTTCGAACCTTAATACCCCATTTTGTTACGAATAATTAATCACTTTATCACTTTATCAGTAATCACACAATATGCCTGTAATTTCCTGTAAATCTGATAAAAAATGGACTGAACAGTAACGTTTCCAATCTTATTTATATCTCCCTTTCTTAAATGATGAGGGGGCACGGGTGGCCCAGTTGTCTGAGACGCCGCAATTCGCTATGCAGAGTTGCGTCCCTTGGGCACGCCAGAAACCTATGATTGTGGGTTCGATTATGTTTCTAGGTTTGCCAGCGCCATACCCGTGCTCGTGGTTTTCATCGAAGTGGGAAACGTCTGAGACCTGCATCACTTTGGGTTTCCTCCCACATTTAGCTGACTCGCCGTGACATAACAGGAATACTGATAAAACGGCGTTAAACCCAACCCACTCACTCACTCACTTAAATGATGATACAAGACTGATACAGCCCAATGAGACTTCTATTGCCGATGTTGACTGAAACTGATACCAGTGTCACGTGTGCGGAGCACCTTCGCTGATTGGGCATGGTCCAGCACGTGCACTCGTATGGCGCTTTCTATTGGACAGCTTTTTACATGTCAATTACAATTCAAAACCTCAAAACCTAAAACCTCCCTGAGGGGTTATAGAAATACCAACATTGTTATTTGTGGTATAATAAACTCGCTACATGAAGACTGATATGATCGGAGCTTGGGAGAGGGGTGGTGTGTGACGGGAGAGGATTTGTTCTGGTCTCCGAGTCAGGAATGACAGCGACTCAGTTAGATCCGATCTCATTAACCTCTGATTCAAACTAATCAATTCGTAACAATATGTCCTTGTCTGTGAATACCTGACAATCACCTGCCATACACGGCGACCTGCCGTGACAAATGAGATAGACCCCGCCATTGAGATCCTGCCAAGTATAAGGCACGTCAGGCCAAGCGGTTAAACACCCGTTATACCCTGAACACACACGCACATACACATGCAAACACACACGTACACATATGCATGTTCATAAACAAACACACACACACCAAAACCCATACACACACACGAACATACACACACACACAAACGCACACAAACACACACACACACCAAAACCCATACACACACACACACACACACGAACATACACACACACACACACAAAGAAAACACACACACACAAACACACACACATAAACATATGCATACACATAAACAAACACACACACACCAAAACCCACGAACATACACACACACAAACAAACACACACACACACACAGACAAACACACACACAGACAAACACACACACATAAACGCACACAAACACCTACACACATACACATATGCATACACATAAACAAACACACAGACACACACCAAAACCCATACACACACGAACATACACACACAAACACACGGACAAACACAAACACACAGACAAACACACACACACAAACAAACAAACAAACACATACACACACAAACACACACACACACACACACACACACACACACAAGCACGCACATCGCACCGTTACCCCGTCACCAACATCCACCTCTATACACAACGCTCACGCCCATACATACAGACACTAATACATCCCTTATCTTCGTACGTAAAAATACCATGTACAGCCACTAAGACACACCCTTAACTTCCTAAAGTAACACCCACCTTTGGACACTAAAACACGCCCCTTATCTCTTAACGTAACGCCCACTTACCGACACTGATAAATCCATAATCTCCTAATGTAAAATACCATTTACAGACACTAAAACACGCCCCTTATCTCTAAACGTAATATCCCCTTATCTCTTGACGTAACTTCCACTTTCGTACACTAAGTCACGCCCCTTACCTCTTAACGTAATACTCACTTTCAGACACTCAGACCCGCCATTACCCTTGACGTAACATCCACTTTTAGACACTCAGACCCGCCACATATCTCTTGACGTAACATCCACTTTTAGACACTCAGACCCGCCGCTTATCTCTTGACGTAACATCCACTTTCGTACACTCAGAACCGCCACTTATCTCTTGACGTACCATCCACTTTCGTACACTCAGAACCGCCACTTATCTCTTGACGTACCATCCACTTTCAGACACTAAGACGTATCCCGCATCTATTTAGTCTATATAGTTTCACAGGAACTACCTCGAGAAATCATTCAGGTCACAAAAGCGAACATCGTTCCCAACGTCAGACCGATTCGAGTAGTCTAAATGCGGTGATATTCAATTTACCTTGATATTTAAACATACTTTGCATTGTTTAGGGCCCACCGTAATCATCACACACCTGTCGTTGACGTATAGCAGGCTACTGAACTCGGCGAAGCTACTTGTACGTAATGTTAACACAACTTAAAGTGGTTTCAGAACACGTATAATTCCCAATGTAAAGTCCACACAGACACCGTTATCAATCAGTTGATATCATTGACTCTTGTACAAATCAGTCGATGTCCTGAATTCTTGTTTCAATCAGGAAATCAGATTTATCCGACTGCTTTTTGATCACTCACTCACTCACATCTTAACAAGAGTGGGAAATTCAAAGATAAATTTGAAAACACAAAAAAAGCATTACAGCTGTAATATATGTAATGGTTAAAATACGACAGAGAACGGTACTTCCTAATGGACATCAGTCATGGAAACGGGTATGAATGTTTCTTAAAACAATTGTTATTAGGTGTTGCAACAATCATTAGCTGGAACGAACACGCTTATAACGAACTGACGGATATAACGAACATTTTTTTTGGCCCCATCCATTTGCTGTAATTATGCTGTATATGTGCTTATAACGAACTACGGATATTACGAACTAAATTCAATGGTCCCTTTAAGTTCGTTATAACCGTAGTTTGCTGTAGATATATCTTGGAGAACGGCTCACCGGCAAACTCCAACTTCCAAATAAAGGGGCTTAATTCTATAGTAAAATCAAAGTTGGGACCGATTACAAGGTCCGAGATAGCAAGTATCTTTATCTCGAATACGAGATGAGAGGTTAAATGTATAGGTATATACACATAGTGAGACAGTTCGGAGAATAGGTTCGAGATATCGGTACATTCGAGAAAGGATATCGAGATCTCGGGTCGACTGTAGGTGCAAAATTCGGTTGTCTACTCCCAAAATAAAAATTGTTTAAGTATTGGCGTTATAATGTATTCGTAATAATTTCTTTCACATTCATGTAACCCTTTAAATTGACATAAAATCTTAAAGAATTCTTGAGAATGATTACAATGATTCATACACATTATTAACAAAATAATATTTCTTGTAAAATTTGAAACAAAAATCTCATCACCATAATGGACAGTTACCTAGGTTCATTAGGAACATGCATACAATAGAGTATTGTCACACATATAACAGACATGTCAATGGACGTACCTGATAATTAAAATAACGCCTTCTTTACCTTTGATATGGTTGTTTAAAGACAACCACACGTTACTAAGGACGGTGAACTTCACGCTGGTGGGGGTGCGCTGGGTGTATGTGCTGTTTTAAACATGACCACTGCTACATTGTATCTACAGAGAGCTACCCGCAGGGGGCCGGGTATCTAGTGACTCCCTGATTGGCTAGATAGCTGATCTGATAACAGGATTATAACCTCACAGACACAGTTGATCTCGCGATGAGATAAGACAGAGTTATCGCCCATGATAACACATGGCTGCAAGGTAGTTCTCAAGAGGAGTATTACCACAACTTCAAGAGTATCGCGCGTCTAACTTTTTCTGAACGACATCTTCCGATAACGCTGGGATTTCAGCGTGAATCAGACCGCCTCCGTGGTCGAGTGGTAGAGCGTCCGCCCGGAGAGCGGAAGGTCCGGGGTTCGATCCCCGACCGCGTCATATCAAAAGACGTTAATACATGGTACTTGTTGTTACCCTGTCTGGCGCTCGGAATGAAGGGGCTAAAACAAGGACTGGTCGGCTCGGAGTCAGTATGCTGTGTCTGAGTGGGGTATTCATGTTAAACTGCGGCATGGTATCTCAGTGAGCTAGCACTATAAATCGGCATCAATCCGGACCAGTACAAGCAGCCACACACGTGCATGCACGTCGCTGTATAAGTACATTGTACAATAATCTTGGACGCGACGTTAAACCCCATTGCACCTTACCTCACCTTCAACGTGAATCTCTTTGACACTTGGAACCCAATAATTTAGAATTGTATACGCCCGTGTGTTCCGTTGCCGGGGCGTGGGTGCACGGGTGGCGGTGACGCCGGAATTTGGCATTGGTCCCTTAGATATGTCGGAAACCCGTGTTCGAGTCTCTAATTCGTCCTGTTTATGATTCTGGGTTTTGTCAGCACCATACCCGTGCGTGCTTGACGATGTCACAATTGCATTATAATAAAGAAGTTGTTATCCTTGAAGGCTTTGTCTACTTTGACACCTTACCAATGCGACCAGTGAAGAGAATAGGTCTTAAGCAGCCCGTGCTTGTTGTAACAGGCGACTGATTGGATCGGTGGTCAGGCTCGCTGCCTTGGTTGATGCATCGTGTCAAAATTTCGTGGATCGATGCTCACGCTGGCGATCACTGGATTGTCTGGTCCAGACTCGATTATTTACAGATCCCCATAGCTGTAATATTGTTAAGTGCGGCATAATACAACAAACAAACAAACCATACCCATGCTTGTGGGTTTTACCAAAGTGGTGGAGTTGGAAACCGGCACCGCTTCTGTTCAAAACGGCGATAAACTCACTCACTCACTCACTCACTCACTCACTCACTCACTCACTCGGGCACATGGATGATGCATTTCAAGAAGACACATTGAACGTTTCAGAACTTAAATTAAGGAAACATACAGGCAGTCCCTTTTCAGCGACCTCGCACTTTGCACTCAATAGACATGAGAAGAATATCTTGAACTATTTATTTGAAGTGAGTGAGTGGTTCCTACTATATACCATCGTGACCTCAGCAGTACAACTGTAAGGGCGGTCGGGTAGCCTAGTGGTTAAAGTGCTCGCTCGTCACGCCGAAGACCCGGGTTCGATTCCCGACATGGGTACAATGTATGAAGCCCATTTCTGGAGTCCCCCGCCGTGATATTGCTGGAATATTGCTAAAAGCGGCGTAAAACCATACTCACTCACCCACTACAACTGTCACCCATACTTTGGCGTACATGGTCGATGTACGGCTACAGTGGGACTGGTGAACGTGGCCCCCAATGTGAACACATGATCACTTTTGTATCGCCGTGTTCAAGTGTTCAAATCTAAAGTCACTGTACTGTCTTATATGTTACATTGTCAATCACTAGGTAAGGGTTAAAGCGTCGCAGCTGCTAGCTACGAATTCCTGGCATATAAGTTAGCATGTACTTGTTCTAATATGTGTATTTTGTATGTCAAGTGAATTTCCTTAATACATCAAAAGTGAGGTCATCTAGTCCCATGTGTTTGTTTTATCGCCGCTAAAGCTAGGTATTAGTCATGTAATGTTTCTGGCATGTCGTCACGACTGCGTGTCACGCGGGGGGTTAGATGTAGCCCACAGGGCTGGACTTGTTGTGGTCAATCTCATTAAAATCAGATCTAAGTGTTCTCGCCGTCCCTAAACAAAGTTCTGAGGACATCCCATTACGGGTCACGTCAGAACGACCTTTCTTCCGACCAATCAGAGCGTAGCTAACCGGATCATGAAGGTGACAGTCGCAATGTGTTTTGTAATCATGCAACCTCGAAAACGTTAACACGGGGTATTCCGAACGACAGTTACGGTCCGTAGGACTGATTCGGTCAAAATTATCGTCTATCTCTCGCTTCCGTGGGATAAACATTTGAACGGAGGAGGCGTTGCACAGTACGTGGGAAGCACTGCCATACAATCGCAACAATATATTAGACATTCCGGAATGTTCGTTTGTTCAGTTTTCAAAATTGTAATCGAGAACAACATTTTTTACAAGTGTAGTCTGAAATGGATGTCACCAGGTTGAAAGGCGTGCCGTAAAGCTCGAGAAAGCTGCTTTCTAATCGGCTGATGTCGACTTCTTGTTAGTCGTTTCAGTGGTCCATTTGAAACTTCAGATGTCAATACGAGTGGTAAACGATGTCACACAGTTCGGCAGGTGTCAGTGTGCGTGAAAGGTTATGTCAGATGTCAATACTAGTGGTAAACGATGTCACACAGTTCGGCAGGTGTCAGTGTGCGGGACAGGTTAGGTCATATATCAATACGAGTGGTAAACGATGTCACACAGTTCGGCAGGTGTCAGTGTGCGGGACAGGTTAGGTCATATATCAATACGAGTTGTAAACGATGTCCGACAGTTCGGCAGGTGTCAATGTGTGGGACAGCTGGTTATGTCAGATGTCAATACTAGTGGTAAACGATGTCACACAGTTCGGCAAGTGTCAGTGTGTGGGACAGGTTATGTCAGATGTCAATACGAGGGGTAAACGATGTCAGACAGTTCGGCAGGTGTCAGTGTACATTAGGATAGGTTATGCCAGATTCTTTTTAAACTCCTTACAGTGACAGCACACTGCATCTCGATCTCAGTTCGTATTCAGTTGTGGCAAATGTTAGACATGGCGGATTAAATGTATTCATATTCCCCTGGAAAAGGTTTCGTGTACCCTCTGTTAGGCCTGACGGCAGGGTACATCAGCCCGTGTTCCAATCGTGATAAGTCAACAATGGACAATAGGAAATGAAGCGGCCTTACAATCCCTGTCAACAACGTGGTTTGCTCGCCATGCCAGTTAGCCGCTAACAGTCCCTGTCACAAGTGGTTTGCTCGCCATGCTGATATCCCACTAACACTCCCTGTCACAAGTGGTTTGATCGTCATGCTGGTATCCCACTAACACTCCCTGTCACAAGGTGGTTTGCTCGTCATCCTGGTATCCCGCTAACACTCCCTGTCACAAGGTGGTTTGCTCGCCATGCTGATATCCCACTAACACTCCCTGTCACAAGTGGTTTGCTCGCCATGCTGATATCCCACTAACACTCCCTGTCACAAGTGGTTTGCTCGTCATCCTGGTATCCCACTAACACTCCCTGTCACAAGCGGTTTGCTCGTCATCCTGGTATCCCGCTAACAATCCCTGTCACAAGTGGTTTGCTCGTCATCCTGGTATCCCACTAACACTCCCTGTCACAAGTGGTTTGCTTGCAATCCTGGTATCCCACTAACACTCCCTGTCACAAGCGGTTTGCTCGTCATCCTGGTATCCCACTAACACTCCCTGTCAAAAGTGGTTTGCTCGTCATCCTGGTATCCCACTAACACTCCCTGTCAAAAGTGGTTTGCTCGTCATCCTGGTATCCCGCTAACAATCCCTGTCACAAGTGGTTTGCTCGCCATGCTGATATCCCGCTCACAATCCCTGTCACAAGTGGTTTGCTCGTCATCCTGGTATCCCACTAACACTCCCTGTCACAAGTGGTTTGCTTGCCATGCTGGTATCCTAATAACACTCCCTGTCACAAGTGGTTTGCTTAACATCCTGGTATCCCACTAACAATCCCTGTCAAAAGTGGTTTGCTCGCCATGCTGGTATCCCACTAACACTCCCTGTCAAAAGTGGTTTGCTCGCCATCCTGGTATCCCGCTAACACTCCCTGTCACAAGTGGTTTGCTCGCCATCCTGCTATCCCACTAACACTCCCTGTCACAAGTGGTTTGCTTAACATCCTGGTATCCCACTAACACTCCCTGTCAAAAGTGGTTTGCTCGTCATCCTGGTATCCCACTAACACTCCCTGTCAAAAGTGGTTTGCTCTTCATCCTGGTATCCCACTAACAATCCCTGTCACAAGTGGTTTGCTCGTCATCCTGGTATCCCACTAACACTCCCTGTCACAAGTGGTTTGCTCGTCATCCTGGTATCCCACTAACTCTCCCTGTCACAAGTGGTTTGCTCGTCATCCTGGTATCCCACTAACAATCCCTGTCACAAGTGGTTTGCTCGTCATCCTGGTATCCCGCTAACAATCCATGTCACAAGTGGTTTGCTTGCAATCCTGGTATCCCGCTAACAATCCCTGTCACAAGTGGTTTGCTTGCAATCCTGATATCCCGCTAACACTCCCTGTCACAAGTGGTTTGCTTGTCATCCTGGTATCCCAATAACACTCCCTGTCACAAGTGGTTTACTCGCCATCCTGGTATCTGGCTAACAATCCCTGTCAAAAGTGGTTTACTCGTCATCCTGGTATCCCACTAACACTCCCTGTCACAAGCGGTTTGCTCGTCATCCTGGTATCCCGCTAACACTCCCTGTCACAAGTGGTTTGCTTGCCATCCTGGTATCCCAATAACACTCCCTGTCACAAGTGGTTTACTCGTCATCCTGGTATCCGGCTAACAATCCCTGTCACAAGTCGTTTACTCGCCATCCTGGTATCCCAATAACACTCCCTGTCACAAGTGGTTTACTCGTCATCCTGGTATCCGGCTAACAATCCCTGTCACAAGTCGTTTACTCGCCATCCTGGTATCCCAATAACACTCCCTGTCACAAGTGGTTTGCTTGCCATGCTGATATCCCACT